TGACCCGGCCCAGGCAGTTGAGGGCTGCCCGCTCCCCGGCCAGCACAGCCCGGGCCCCGCCCCTCACCCAGGCCACACCTGCCACCGGTGTTAGCCACGCCCCCTCGGGCTCCGCCCACTCCACGGCACAGCCCAGCTCGGTGAAGATGGCGTCCACGAAGGGCCCCCCTGCCAGGACCCCCGGGGACTTGGCCACAATCTGGGCGGTCACCGGGTGGTCACCCAGGGCTGCCCCGGCGGGATCAAACGTTGGGGCATCCTCCAGGAGCCAATCGCGGGCCAGCTGGCAGAGGCGGGGGGGCAGCAGCAGGTGGGCAGGGACCGGGGGTGACGCCATGGCCTGGAGGGGAGAGAAAAGCATAGAGATGAAAGGGGAAGAGAGACCAGAGAGGCCTCTCCAGCTCCTACAGGCAGTGCCCTGGAGCCCCCTAGTGAGGGGAGGGGGAGCCTCGCCTGCTCTCCCCTCCCAGACAGCCCAGGTGCCTGGGCTCCTCAACCCCCTCCTCTCAGCCCCCAGGCCTCGCGCCCCTCCCAGAGACCCCAGGCGTCTGGGCTCCCACCCCCCCCTGCCCTCCCACCTGCTTCTCAGTGCCTGGGGCAGGGCTGGGAAGACAGACGGGGGGGGGGGGGCGATGCTGGGCCCTTCCCCTACCTGGCAGAGACCCCAGCCGGGACGAGGCCGGGAGGGAAGCTTCCAGGCAGGGGGAAGGTCCAGGGAGGGGCTGGGAGCAAAGTCCAGGCCGGTTGGGTGTTAACAGATCCCACCCCCGAGGCAAGCGCAACCTCAGAAAACCTCCCCTCGGCCCACGGGGACCCTTATTGGGGTGACACCAATGGACACAGGGGCCCCATAGAGGTGTCACGTGCATAGGAGGCGGTGGGGAGTCTGGGGATGAAGGGGCTGGATTTTCTAGGCGCACCCATTTTGGGGGGACACCAAGCTACATCGGGGACACTCATGTTGATACCGCACGCACAGAAAGGGCAAGGGAGGGTCTGGGTTTTCCGGAGGGGCCCATATTGGGGTGACACCCACCTTCCTATGGGGGGCTGATAGGAGTGTCCCCCACATAGGAGGGGATAGAGGGTCTGGAGGGAGCTGGGTTTCCGGGGGGCCCATATTGGGGTGACACCAACATAACTATAGGGGGCGCCTACTGATGTCACGGAGAACTGGATGGCGAAAATGGGGTGGGGCATACTGGGCACACCACCCTACGTCAGGGGGCCCACATTGATGTCACACCAAGGGGAAGGGATGGAGAGGCGGGGGGGTGGAGTTTGGGGGGGCCCCCTATTGGGGGGAAGAGGCCCCCAGGGGGGCCCATAGTGGGGTCTGTCACACACACACACACACACACACACACACACACACACACACACACACGGGGGCACATATGAATGTGACACAGCAGGGGGTCGTAACCTACATCACCCCAATAGGGCCCCTGTGGGGGGTCACCCCGGCTCCCTCCCCACGTGCGGGTGTCACCCCTATAAGGCACCCTCCCCATGGCGTTCGCTCCGCCTTGCGGAATTCCCACGGGGGTGACACAAGCCCCTACGTGGGGGTCATGGCCACGGTCACTGGCTTGGCCGTGAGCTGGGCCCGTGGCTGCTCGTGGTAACCCAAGCCCCGCCCCCCGCCTCCCGAGACAAGGGAATGCAGGGAATGTGGAGGAACTCCCAGCCCCGCCCTTCCACCACTTCCGACCTTCCCAAGATGGCCGCTTCCATCCCCTTCTTCGACCTCCCCAAGATGGCGACGCCCGTCCCGAACCGCCCCAAGATGGCGGCTGCATACGGAACGCGAGAGGAGGAATCGACCCTCCCAAGATGGCGTCCGGCCATGCGCACACCCCTTCCCGTCCTCTGCTGTTGGGGGCGGAGCTAGGGGGCCCGCGGTGCACGCTGGGAACCTGGCGGACCCGGGGGCGGCTGAGCGAGCGGGCAGCGCGGAGCGGCGGCCATGGTGAGCCCCCC